TCGTGAAGAACATGCAGCTTCAGGGTTTCAGGAGCCAGCTCCAGAGAGGAGCAAAGCACCCGCCGAGCAGCAGGGATGTGGGTGACCACCCCCACCAGCCCCCAGCTCTCTCTGGCCACGGGGGGTTGAGTGCAGGGATGCACAAAGGTGACCATGAGACAGAGGGAGAGAGGGGAGATGGTGCAGGGATCTTGTAATGGGTCCTACACCACTGGCCTGTGGGCAGGGGAAAGGATTTGCCTTCTCCACACAAGGCTTTTCATCCTCCCTCCCCGTTAAAACCACAAGTGCCTTAGAACACGTGCAGGCTCTGGCTTGATGCTTTTACAGAACCAAGAATTGCAGGGTCCAGGCCTCATCTGTGGCCTCCAAGATTCCCCAAGACCTCTTTTTCCCCCCTCCAGATACTAATAGCCACATTTTGGACTTGATTTCTCCTGAACGTTGGGGTGCTTCAGATCTACATGCATATTTTCAAGGCTCTGCCCCCAGTACTACTGCTAAATCAGCCAACTGGTACCATCAGACTCAAAATGAAACAACCATTCATCAAAGGGATTTGTAAAACTTTGGCCACTGTGACCACCTGCAGTTGGCTTTCCATCCTGTGAGGTGAACATTCCATGCAAGAGCCACCATCAGGAGACATGCCATGGACACAACCTCTTCCTTATGAATTAGAGGTGTCCAAAACCCCAACCCAGCCCTGGAAGTTCAAGCCTAGCAAGGGGATGGATGGACACAGCCCTGCTCCAGACACGAGCACCTTGGTGGACACGGTCCTGCCTCTACACAGCAGCTGTACAACGTGCCTGTGCTCCCCAGGAAGGATGACAAGAAGTGGCAGCAAAAAACTTTCCATACTTAGGGACTCTCAAAGACTCTAAGGACCCTCGGTTATACACAAGCAAAGGCCAAACTCCACCTCAGGCTTATTTGGAGGTTTCTGTGGCTCAGACTATTTCTCACCAGGCTGTTTTTACAGGGCTGGAGCACAGAGCTGAGCAGAGAAGGAGCTGAGTTACAAGCCTCTCCTCCAGCTTTATTCCTGGCAGAGACAATTTGCAGCAGTGTTGCTCTGCACGTCAAAGTCTGGCACCTGCTTACAATAAATCCCTAACGATGCTGAGAAGTTCAACAGCCCTTTAGTTTCATTTCTGTTGGATTTCTATGCACCGTGAAGGCTGCAAAGACTGTTTTCTGAAACAATGCTGCCTATTTATCTTGGAGATCCTCTGTAACTGGCTGCACTTCATCAAAGATTTCTTTTCTCAAGGCAAAAGGATGCTCTAGGCACAGACAGTCCAACGGGGAGGCTTTGCCACCATCTCCTGCAAATGCTTTCGTGCTGGCTGAGATCTTCCAAGCAGGCTCCCTTGCCAGTGGGATGGGTTGGTGCACTGCTCTAGCTCTCAGAACCCCAAGGGGTTTGAATCCCAGCAGACACTACAGGAAGAAAAATGCCTCATGGGGTGATGTCAACCTGTGCAGATGGGAATTTGGGAGTCGTTGCTTTTGGGATGTGTGTGGAGGCACAAAGCAAGATGGGCACAGTTGAACTGTCTGGTCCAGATGAGCATGAACAGGCTGCACCAGCTGTATGGCTGGGAGAGGCTCCTCAATCCTGGAGCTGCCATGTCCCAGAGCTTCCCCTCCACGGCCACCTCTTCAGAGCAACCAGCTTCCTCAGAAGGTTGGGGTTTTGCACAGCCCATTCAAACCTCTCTCCCTCTGGAGCAGGGAGTCCCTGGTGTGACTCTGCTGTCCCCGGTGTGCAGGAGGTGAGCAGCTCAGTGGGACCCTTGTGCCACACCAAGGGGACAGCCCCCAGCCCTGGCTGGGACCACGAGCAGCTTCTGCAGCCTGCCCAGGGGACAAGCAGCTGATGGGCCCTGGCTGTAAAACCTCGGGTGACGTTTTCTCTCCGCTCACCTCTGATCCCAGTAAACGTGCTCTGGGGGCTACAATCCCATGGAGGATCTGTGTGCAGATGTCCTGCAAAACCCACCCCCTCAGCTGTAAGACACAAAGTCCTCCCCAGCCTGGTGGTTAGTGACCATGAATAATGATTTTCCTAATGGGAACTGGCCAGTGTTCAATCCTCCATTATCTCCTTCTTAAGCAAAGCCTGTTTGTATCAAGACTGGCAGTAAGCAAGGCTCCTCCATTTCTTCAAGATCAAAAAAGACACCAAAGAAGGAGACTTCTGGAAGCTCAAGCTACGGGGATGTGCACCAGGCATCACAGCAACATCAGTGCACCCAAAGCACCAAAACCATGGGGTGCCCCAGCAACTCGGGCTCCTCGCTTCGGGTCTCGCGGGGACACGGGTGGGTGGCGAGGATGGGGGGGACACTTTATGCAGCACGTGTTTCAGCCATCACCACCCCAATCTCCTGCTGGGGAGGTGGCCCAGGACTGTCTGGCACACTGGGACCAGCACAGTCTGCCTTGGCAGGGCCACCACAACCCCAGGGGAACGGGGGTGGGACAGAGTCCTCCCCCCAGCACGCTCTCTGCTGAGCTCCTCCTCTCTGACGTTTCCAAACTCACCAAGCCTTGTTCCTTACAAAATAAGAAGACTAAGTTCACACTTGGAAAAAACCCACCAAAACCCCTTTATTTCCTTTAAAGCACAGCTTTTTTTTGGGTCCCTGACAAAGCAATATTCTCCAGGCCAGTTGGAATCTGGAAAAATACACTTACTCAACCTAGCCACCATGACTCCAATAACAATTATAAAATGTCCAATAAAACTTGCATGTAATGTCAATTCAAATCTTGAAAAGCAGAATTAAGTGGTATATCAACATTAAACTTTATTGCTTCCTTTGCAGAGCAGGAGTATTGTCAATAAAAGTCATTCTGAATGAAGAAAAGGGCAGTAAATATTAAATAAACAGGTTTTTGTTGAAATGCTATAAATGCACCAGAGCTGCGTTTTACACTGGGACCCTTTTTTTTCCCCTTTGCAGACTCCCCTCGTGATAGAAATAAGTCAGTAATTGCAAACTATCAATAAAGCACCAATTAAAGGGTGGTTAGACGCATGCATTTACAATATGTCATTATGAGCCTGTATGGGGTTGGGCTTTTCAGATCCCAGTGGCTCCGTCCAAATTCCCCCAGCACACAACGAGTCGTGCTGCTCGTTAGGGGCCCTTGGAGGAACCACGAGGGTGCTGGAGGCCAGTGTTGCCCCCAGGGCTTCAACCCAGGGGGAAGGCAAGGATGGAGAAACCCCAAGCTGAGAAGGGAATGAGAGAGGAGTGTTTGGTTGGGCTTTTTGGTCACGGAAGGTTCTCCTGGCAGAGCTGTGAGGACAAAGCTTCACCCCCTCGGTCCACTGCACTGTTGTTTTCCTGCCAGTGCAGAGGCCAGCAGAGCATGACAGCTCTGCCCCAAGCCAGGGCAGCTGAGCTGCAGCCTGGAAGCTGGCACCACGGTGAGTTCTGCTCCTTTCTGGGTCTGCTCACCCTGGAAAGAGCCGTTGCCATCCTCCCTACGCTCCCCTGCACGCAAAAGTATTCCCACTCCCAGCTCCACCTCCACCACGTTTCAACACCCATCTGCTCCCTCCAGAAGAGGCTGACAGAGACAGGGTGTTTTGCTTTGCCCACGAGACACGAGCAGTTTTTTAGGGTTGGGTTGCACACAATCCTCCCAGGGATGCCAAAACCCTTGGGTGCAATGCCCATCCCAAACAACTGGCACCTCGTGGAGCGATGCCCCGAGACCTGTCTGGGTCAGGCCTCTTCTGCCCTGCTGCCAGGGCAAGATCCATCCCCACAAAACCAAACGTGATGCCACGAGGTGTGTGAGTGAGCAGAGGAACAAGCTGGGGGTTCAGTGGTACCCAGACACAAGGGGATGCACTGGGGGAGCGGGCATCTCTGCGAGGGCACAGATCCCACACCTTTAACATCTGATCAGCATTTCTGTGGCTTCCCAACAGAGTTTATAAGCTGTTCTCCAGCTTAAGCATCACATGTATTTACAGGAAGCAGTAACAGCTACAAAGTATGAATTTCATGGTGCTGAAATGATGTTGGACAAACCCCACAGTCGGCAAGGGCTGGAAGCTGCACTTCTGTGAATCACAGGGGCTGGGGCTTAATGAGCTCCTCCAATTATACCAGGGCAGAGATGACCCAAATCAGATGTGGTCTTGCCAAGTGCACATGCAGGAGCTTCTGCCCTCTGACTTCTGCACAAACTTATTTATTTCATGTACAAAAAGAACCCACCACAAAATCAAGCAGAATGTGAATGACACTAATGTTTGAAGAAATTAGTTTCACTATAAACTCAGTAAATCTGGTGGTTGTAAAAACCACCTCAAACTTTTTCACAGAGATTGAATGTTAAATATATATATATAAAAAATATCCTTTCAAAGGGTGAAAGATGGCTATAAAAATTAATTTGTGGAGAAACTGCCAGTATTCATCCCAGTCAGAGGCTCAGACCCTCTGCACTAGTCCTGGCCTGACATTTCTCTGCCATCTACAGGAATGGAAACCAACCCAGCAGCAAGGGAAACAACCTTCCAGCAGCACACCAAGAGCAGCCACACCAGCGTGAACCACCCCAGAGCCAACAGTTAATAGCTGTGAATCATCTTGATTCACTTGAGCCTGAACTCTTGACCTGTTGACTGAGTCAGTTCCTCTGGATGCTGCTCCTGCCCCGAGAAGATGAGCTCCAGCAAACCACTGCTGAGACAGCAGCACTGCTGCTCCTGCAACACGTGCCCACCCAGCAGCAGCATTTTTAACTAAAAAAGGGAGATTTAGACTAGATAGAAAGAAGAAATTGTTAGCATTGAGGGTGGTAATCCCCTGGCCCAGGCTGCCCAGAGAGGTGGTTGAACCATTCCAAGTGAGGCTGGAGTAACCTGCTGTAGTTGAAGCTCTCCTGGCTCACTGCAGTGGAGTTGGCCAAGATGACCTTGAAAGGTCCCTCCCCACCCAAATCAGTCTCTGATTCTATGATCCCACCTGGAAGAGGATCTGTAAGAGGCCATGTATGATGCACATCCGCCGTCCCAGGAAGAGGAAGAAGGGCACCACCAGCTCAATGAAGTGATTGACCAGGGTCTCAAACCGGTGGAACCACCACGGCGAGCGATGCATGAAGTAGGCGATGGGGTTGGGCACTGGCTGGGTCTGAAAGATGGAGAAAGAAAAGGAATTAATCCTCATCCTCCCAGGCTCATCACGGTGGGAGTGACAGATCTCTTGGCCTCCTTCCTCATTTCTTCCCCCAGGTTTGCTCACAGACCTGTCCTTTGCCTCTGGCCACTCAATTCTTTCCAGAGAAAATGATTTAATTCCAGTTTTTACCACGCAGATCAAGGAATTTTTGAAGCAATCCATCTTTTATAAAACAAAAAGTTTAATTTTCTCTCTTTTTTTTCTTTTATCATAACCAAAACACACTCATCTCAAATTAAGCCAGCTATTATTTCATCCTGAAATGTTACACACAGCTCCACACCAACGGATGTTAAATCGCTCCACACCAACGCTGAAGATCATCAGAGCAACCAAGCAGATACAGAAACTGAGAAAAAGATTTTCTCAGGGTCAGGCAGCAGGTCAAAGAGAGCCAGGAATGGAAACCAGATTTCAAAACCTAGGAGATATTCTTTCAAAATGTTTAAATTTGAAATAAATGTGGTGGTAGAGTCGCTTTCCAAGATGGTAATTGGGGAGAGGAAAGTGTAATTCCTCTAAACATGCTATATTGGTTTAAGGTATTTACACACTGGCCCTGTGACAATATTATTCTTCTATCAGCCTGAAATTTTTGGACACTGGGAGATCTTCCATCCAGCAGAACAGAGCTGCAAATTTTACAAAGGAAACAAAACTGAATCCTGACGTGTTAATAACGGCCACCCTTCGAAACGCTGCAATTTGAGCAAAAAAAGAAAGAAATTCATTTATCTTCCCCTATCTGACAGGCTCCAATTTCTTCGTATTGTTTTAAAAACTACGACCCAAAAAAAAAAAAAAAACAACCAGAGAGGATGAAGACACAAATTTTAATTGAAGGAGACACAACACATCTTTAAATTATTTGTCGCTAAATCAAAAATACAAACAAAACAGGGGAAACACTGTGCTAGGCATGGCAACCGAGCGTGCTTCCACTGCCAAATCCCACAACTATTGTAATTCCTTATTAGCAAAGCTGGGATTAATAAAGCTGGTGCTTTCTAGGGGTTTGAGGCTGCTGTAACCCCTCAGGACAAGGAGACCGCATCCTTCCTTCCTCGGACACCGGCGCCGGATGGAGCCGGGGTGGGGTCAAGGAGCTCTGCCAAGGTCAGGACTCCCCCCTCCCGGGCCAGCAGCAGCCCCGGGTGCCACCCAAGGTCCTTCCCCCTCCACACGGGACCTGTTTCGAGTTAATCTGCTTCTTGGACTGCTCTTGAGCATTCCCAGAACGTCAGGGAGGTTCACAAAGAGATTTGGGGTTGGTTTGGTTTTTTTTTTTAACCTTGATCTCAAATTGCTGAGAAATGCTTTTATCCTTCCAAAAAGGCAGGTTGCTTTCTTGGCTGCTTCTATGACTTTTTTAACCAAAACCAACCTGGATGAGGTATCAGGGCTATGGGTTGAGCCTGAGATGAGCCAGTTTCCAGCAGGCAATGTGCAATTTAATCTCACAATGGGATGGCCCTGAACAGTTACATGTTTGAGCGTGGCTTTGCAGGGCTGGGCTGACACCTCAATTTCAAAGCAAAGACCACAGAATCATGGAACAGTTTGGGTGGGAAGGGACCTTTCAAGGTCATCTGGTCCAACCCCCTGCAGGGACAGGGACATCTGCAGCTAGAGCAGGGTGCTCAGAGACACCTCCAACCTCCCCTGGGATGGTTCCAGGGATGGGGCAGCGACCACCCCTCTGGGCAACCTGGGCCAGGGGCTCACCACCCTCAGTGTCCAAAATTCCTTCTTTCTCCCTAGCCTAAATCTCTCCTTTTATTGTTTAAAACCATCCCCTCCTTGTCCTGTCCCAACAAGTCCTGCTCCAAAGTCTGTCCCCAGCTTTCTGAAAGGTCCCTGAGGTACTGACAGGCCCCCAGCAGGTCTCCCCAGCTGGAGCCTTCTCCTCTCAGCTGCCCCAGCCCAACTCTCTCCTGCTGGGCTCCCAGCAGAGGGGTTCCCCCCTCGGGTCATTGCTGGGGCTCCTCTGGTCCTGCTCCAGCAGGTCCCTGTCTTTGCTGTGTTGAGAGTCATCCTCAGCTCTTGAACTTGCCATCTGGTTCCCCCAACCCCTTCCCCTCCATCACAGGCTCACACTGATGCCCTCCTCGACCCACAACTGCAGCCAGCAAGCCCTGCTTGTTGCTTTGGGCTCAGACTCAGGATATCACCCCCCAGCCTGCTGTGCTTAGGGGCAGAAAGACAAAATTGCTGCCCCCAGTCCCAGGGCAGTGGGACAAGAAGCAGAGGGAAGTTCTTGGCTTGGGCTCACGCAGCAGCCGTGCAGAGGCTCACGTGGGGACAGCCTGGGCTGGCTGGGTAGGTTTAAGGCTTTTTTAGCAGCAGCCCAATCCTTACCCTGAAGGAGAAATGGGGGAAAAAGAAGAGAAGCACAGCAATGGGACGTGGGTTGATGGCTGACTCCTGGGTGCTATCCCATCATCATCCTTCACCTTACCAACGGTGTCACTGTGGGACAGGCAGGGTGACTGGTGACGAGCCAGACTGGAAGTCAGAAAGAAGGAAGGAGCTGGATCCAAGCTGTGCTGATGGTGGAGCCCCTGGGGACACCCTCTGGAAGGGACCCTTCCCTCCTCAACACACACCTCGAGGATGTCAGAGCAAACAGGGCACTGGAGCCTCTCTGCAGCCCAGTTAACTCTACCCGGGGGTCCTGGGGGGCACCCAATGCCCTGTTTGGTGCACCTAACCATGCAGCACCCAGCTGGGGCTCGGGGAGAGCACCTGGGGCATGTCATGGGGGTTAGAGAGCAGCTTGCCCAGTGCTCTTCCAGTGTCATCACACCCTACAGAGACATCACGGCGGTGTCGGAGCCCAGGAGCCGGGCAAAACATTCCAGCATCACTTCACCCAGCTCAGTTCATGGGGGATTTTGAGCTTTATGCTTTGCTTCGTGGCTGCTGTGCAAGGAGAAGCATCCTAAGGAGCTCCTCTATGTGGAGAGCTGTGAGCTCCTGACACACAGGGATTAAAACACAGCCCCAAGTCAGACACAACCAGCCCAAGGCAGATGTCCAGCGAGAGGAGCTGAGCAGAGCCCTTGTCTCCAACAAACCCCATTCCTGGACACCACTGTGAAGCGTAAAACGTTTTTAAATCAAAAAACAATTAGCAAAAAAGCAGCTTTATGTGTCAGCACGAGGTGCAGCATAATAAACCTTCTGCCTCCCTCACACCTCCAGCAGCCGGCGAGAAGCGGGGCCGCAAACGCGCTTCGAGATCAGATTGGGGAAAATTAATTCCATCACTCCTGGGCAGATTTGCAGCGTGTGAGCTCGGGGGGTAGGGGGGGAGCTGCTGAATGGACCCCGGGTCGCCAGCGAAGGCATGTTCTCTGGCTTGTATCTCCCAGCTTTTACGAGGGCTGGTAACAGATTCTAAAAATATGCACAATAAACTGGAGTTTTTTTCTCCCTAAGGGGTCTACGGTTTAATTATGTTCTTAGTGAGAACCATTAAAGTGCTAAGTACCTGAAGACTCCTAATTTACTAAACTATATGCTACTAAAACCCAACAGAAGGCTATTATACACCAGAGTAAACGCTCTTCTCTGGGACTGTAAACGCTCACGGGCTCTGCTCTCAGCCTCCTGACTGCTGGGGCATTACACACACTCTGCCGGAGTATTTAACCCCGGTGTGAGACACCCCAGCTCAGCCCAGGGAAATCTCCAGGCTCTCCTACACGTGTGCATGAAAACAAGTCCCACATTGTCCTCGAACAACCCGCTGCTCAGGCAGGGCTGGGGATGTTGTTCTTGTACCGCCAGCGGCGCGGCTCCGGCCTGAGTGAGGGGGTGGGACAGGAGTGGGAAGCTGCAGCCTAGGGAAGAGCTTGTCCCCTCCAGATCACAACTGAGGAGCAGCTCAGAGAGATATCAAGTCAGGTTTATCTTTTGCAGTGATGGGTTTTTACCTTCCTTCACTCCACGGTCATAGAATCATGGTGCCATGGAAGGGATTTTTGAAGGTCAATTAGTCCAACCCCCCTGCAGGGACAGGGACATCTGCAGCTAGAGCAGGGTGCTCAGAGACACCTCCAACCTCCCCTGGGATGGTTCCAGGGATGGGGCAGCAACCACCTCTCTGGGCAACCTAGGCCAGGGGCTCACCACCCCCAACATCCAAAATTCCTCCCTTCTCTCTAGTCTCAATCTCCCTCTTTTAGTTTCAGACCATCCCCCCTTGTCCTATCCCACCAGGCCCTGCTCAAAAGTCTGTACCTAGGCCTCTTGCTGAAGAGTCTGTCCCCAGCTCCCTGAGAGGCCCCTTGAAGTCCTGGAAGGCTGCAAGGAGCCTCTGTTGTACCTGCTCACTCCTCTGAGCATCTCAACAGCTCAAACTCAGAAGGCGCCTTTCAGAAAACAGTAGCAAATTATGAATGAACCCGTTTCAAAAAGGTGAACAAGAAATCCATTATTCCACCTATTTGTATAAGGTAAACTCAGATTACCTATTGATCTAGACAACCAAAAGTATACTTGGCATTAATGTTACATCAACACCAAGGACAACCTTTCCAAACATCACCTAGAGCAGAAATCTGGCTCGGTGAAACACAAAGGAAGCCATAAATATTCCTGTACCCTCTAGAAACCACCATTTTCCCACTGGAAGGCATCTACTTCAGCAAAATACTTGAGAAAGAAGAGTACTAAGAAGGATACTAAGACTTAGAAGAACACTAAGAAGAGCAGCATCCTGGAAAACCAAGCTGAGAGGTATCACTGAATGTTTTCCTGAGTGTTCTTGGAAGGACCCGTAAAGCCCAAGCCCTCCAGCTTCCCAAGGCACTGAGGCATGAACTCATCTCCTCAGCTTCAAAATAAAAAGGATTCTCCATCGCAGAGCATAAATTGATCAACGTGATCCAACGGGCTGTTTCTCTGCCCGTCTCCTCTGCTTCAGATCTTGACCCTTCCTCCTTACG